TTACAACATGGCCATCCCCTAGGGGGTGACTTCTGTCTTTCGCTCTCACTGTTCTTTCTCTGCATCTCTCTGGCAAGTGCATGCACCTAATAGCAAAAACCCTTGGCAGATGGAAAAATAATAATGTTTTTATGAGAAGGCTTTAGAGTGTAAATACATGGCTTATTTTCTATGACATGAAGTGTTCAGAAATATGGAGCTATAAGGCCAGCAGGTGACATGGTAGAGAAAGAGCTGGACTCCCACGTGGCCAACCAGGTTTGAGTCCTGGACCTGGTGTCTTGAAAACCACTCTGGGCACGTGTGTGTGCATGTGCCCAAAAATCCCAGGAGGAGTATGGAGGAGAAAGGGATTACAACATGGCCATCCCCTAGGGGGTGACTTCTGTCTTTCGCTCTCACTGTTCTTTCTCTGCATCTCTCTGGCAAGTGCATGCACCTAATAGCAAAAACCCTAAAAAAAAAATAAAAAAATAAAAGGTGGTATATTCCAGAAGAAAGAACTAAAATATAAAAAAGATTTCTTGGGAATAGAAATTTACAGTATAGAGAACTGGGGCAAGTTCTGCTGTTTTTCATTATACGCTTAACGATATTATTTTATTTTTTTGGTATATTGATAAAAAGTAAAAATGAATATGATTAATGTATTAATATTTTTATTTAAAAATCTTAGTGGTCAGAGAAGGACTATTTTCACTGAATATTGGGGAAACCAACTATACTGTTTTGGTACCGCTCTGAAAGAAACTATAAAAATTCTTCCTGTTTTGGGACTAAAGTGCACCAATAAGGTAGCTTGTGATTTTAGGGACCTCAGTTATCTGTCAGCATTAATGACACCAGCAGGCATTAGGCGTGGTGACACCAGGAACAAAAGATAATATTCTGGCCCTATACGTTGTTATGATCACATGGGCACCAGCAAGTGATTGGCATGGCGCGCCTACATGGCTTTATAGGCAGCGGAGGGCAGATAACCTCACTAAAGGGGGAGCATCCACGCGGATGCACACAATAAAGGAGAAGGCTCATGTACGACATTCCCAGGGTATGCTCAGAAATAACAGAAGGACTGGGGGGGAGAGTCCCCTGCCTACCACTGGAGGCACCATCCAAGGAAATCAGCATCGATGCTTGATTCCATTTGTTCTGAGCTGGTGTGTCCCGGGCAAATGCTAGGCAGATCAGAAAGGATGGGTGGAATGAGAAAGAAAGGGGCATCAAGGTCACTGGAGGGAAAGGGGGCGAGGGACTATAGACAGTGCTGGCACAGCCTTGGTCCCAGACATATTTGTCCCAGATACATAAATTGTCACTTCTGCTGCCTAACCTTCTGACTTCTATACTTATATTTAGATAAGGCTCCTTTCCTAACCATTCCCCACAAGGGATTTTTTTCAGGTTTCAAGCAAGAGGACCCAGGTGGGAAGGTACACCCGGACTTGTGTCACTCCTTTAGAGGAATGGAGTAAGGAAACCCAGTTACAGGGCAGCAAGGAAAAGGGAAGGTAGAGGAATGGGTACTAAGGCCAGTCCTGCCTATGAACAAAGCAACTCCAATGTTACCTGAGGTCTAGGAAGACCCTAGGTCTGAAATCTTTCTTCTGTGCGTACTGTGGCACCCCACATCTCTCCATCTGAACTTCTTTGGACATCTCAGCCTTACCTCAAGGGAATCAGGTAAAGATTTGAGTACATAGCAGATACTTTTGAGATTGACTAGAGGGCCCTGCCCCATTACCCTTCTCAGTTTCCCTGGTCCCTACAAACATTTATTGTTTCGATCTGTCTCTGTGGGCAGATAAGGGGCCCTATGCCCTGGTCCAGGAACCCAAAATCCTGACCTTTTACCATTTTAACAAAACACCGAGGCAAAACTGTTGATGGGAGGAAAGGAAAATTTATTACAGTATGGCCACATTAGGTAGATTTGTAAGAGTATGTTCAACTGGTCAGCAATTTACAGATGTTTTTATAGGGAAAGGGAGATCCTATGGGGCTAAAGGCTATCAATAAAAAAAAATAGGTCAGGTCAATTTTTAATTAATTGTGCACAACTGAGTGATTCCTCTTTGACAAAGAACTTTCAGTTTTAGTTCAGGCAGTGCAATCAAATGATTCATCTTCAAGACATGAGTTTCAAGTTTTGCTGGGAGAGAATGTCCCTCATTTCAGGCTCCAGGTTGACCTCCTGTCTTGAGAATTAGCATAAGGACCCCACATACAGGAAAAGAACGTTTGATTTAACAAGATGGAGTCAGTCTGGCTAAAGTAGGCCTCTGTTACATCTCCAGTTACAAAGATAGTAAGACAAGGTTCCTAACCTCAAAGAATTCACATTACTTGAGTGGTGGTTGGGAATGTAGAGGCTGATCCGAAAACTGAATTTTAACATAATGAACTTAGAAAAGAGATCTGCAAAAACAAAGAAGAGAGCACACTTAAGTCTGAGAGGGCTTTCTGGTGTAGAAGGCCCCTGGCATAAAGGGAAGCAGGCATTCTTCTAGGTACAAGCAGAGCAGAGGAGGAGGAACTGCCTTCTCCAACAACTACCAAGTCACCTCAGTTACTTTTTTGCAGACATACCTCAGCCAAACCCTTAGCTCTAGCTGTGTCAATTGCCCTTTGTCATTCTGACTTGGCCCTGAATCTTCATCCTCCAATCAGGCAACCGTCTTATAGTTACCACTCCCCCAGCCATAGTCTATGTTCTATAATGCACTGCCTAAATAGAAATAGAAAATGTTCTAGTAGCTACATTTAAGAAGTAAAAAAAAAAAAAAACAAGTAAAATATTTTAAAGAATTATTTTTTATTTAATTTGCTATAAGACATATGTGCTCACTAGAGAGAGAAGGAAAGTGAGAAAGCAAGCTGCCAGGTCTGGGACTCAGACCGTGGCTGGCCATATGGTAGTCCGGTGCCTTAACCATCACATCACCTGCTGGCCACACAATAGAATTACTGTTATTAAAAATATATATATTTATTCTCACTTATTTATTTTAATTTGACCAGAGGGAGACACAGAGAAAGAGGAGGGAGGGAAAGTGAGAAAGCAAGCCACTAGATCCAGGACTTGAACCACAGTCGGCCTTGTGAGAGTCTAGCACCTCAACCACCATGCCACCTGCCAGCCCCAAATTATTTTAATAACATAGTTTATTTAACACAGCCAGTCCAAACTATATAAACCTTAATGTTTTAAAATTGAGATATTGGAACCAGCAGATGGTGTAATGGTTATGTCGCTGGATTTCCATGTAGTCGACTGTGGTTCAAGTCCCAGGCCTGAAGGCTTAAAATTCACACTGGTTTCCTGTGTGTGCGTGCCAAATATCCCAGGAGGAGACTGGACTTCCACATGGTCAACTGAGGTTCAAGTCCTGGACCCAGTGGTTTCAAAATCACGCCTGGCCCGTGTGTTTGTGGGCCTAAGATCCTGGGAAGAAAATGGAGGAGAAGGGATTGTGGAGTGGCCACCCACCTTAGGGAGTGATTTCTCACTTTCCCTCTCACTGTGTGTGTCTCTCAGGCGAGCATGTGCACCTTAAGGCAAAAACCTAAAGAAACAAACAAACAGAAAATTCTGGAGAAAGAAAATTTGGAGAAAGTAACCAAAGTATTCCATGGGGACAGAATTTGAAATCCATAGAATTCAATCCAGAGAAGGGTCAGAGAAGGGATTTGCCCAAAGTCATTGAGCACATCCCTGGCAGTTGCGGTGAGCCTTGTACCCTTTCCATTAGCTCTGCTGTCTCCATTACCTGAAGAACATTTTTTTTTTTTTTTAGTTTTTTGCCACAGGGTACATGTGCTTGCCAGGGAGAGGGAAAGTGAGTAACCACCCTCCAGGGGGTATGACCACTTTGTGGTTACTTCTGCAGTCTCCTCTCTGGATTTTGGGTACTCACTAACCCTGCTTAATCAAGCTTCTAGGCCCAGGACTCGAACTAAGATTACCCATGTGGGAGTCCAGCGCCCTAACCACCCTGTCACTTGCTGGCTCAACCTGTAATATATTTTAATGTAAGACATTTTGCTACATCCACGGTGCCTCTAAAGTACCAGGGGAAGATATTCTGCCTAGGAAACGCCGGTCAGCTTTCCTCTAACTCATGGCTTAAGGAGCTAACTGCCCTGAACAGGCGCTGCCTAACAGCGGGGTAGAGCCGGGATTCGGCTGCTGGAGTCCTGGGTGGAGGATGCTACTGGGGCGGTTCTTTCTCCAACTCCACATCTCCAGGAGCCTGGCGGGGCCAGCCCAGCCGCGTCCCTGTAGCCTACTTGCTAGCTGCCGCTGGATCAAGGCGGTCAGCTCCCACCCGGGGACTTGAAGGAAGCTCCAAGCGGAGGCCACACCCACGGGAGCAGTTCCAGGAGACGGTAAGAACCCTACGGTGCGTCCGGAAGGCGCATGGGCGGCAGGTTAGTACCTAACGTGCAGGAGACACCCCAGGACGCGCCCACCAGGGATGGGCTTCTCCGGAAGCGGTCTTTCGGCCAGTCCCAGCCCCATCTCCATTCTTGGCACCTGTCCTGCCTGCTCCGGCCGCGATGGGCCGCTTTAGGCTTGCCCGGGCCACTGGAGTCTGGCGACGAACGGCTGAGGCTGCGCATGGGCCGCTGCAGGCCGCATCAACCCCCGGAGCTTGCAGGGGTGTCCCTGGGAAGGACTTTCCAGCGCACTGTCAGCCCCACGAGCTCACGCAGCCTCTGCGCGGGGCAGTGAGATCCAGGCGCCTCAAAGCCCGGCTGGGCCCAGCTGCAGTCCTAGGGAGGGCCCCTTCCCATTCCCGCCGAGCGTAAGCCGTGACCGCGCAGCCTCCGGCCCCTTCGCGCCGGGAACCGTTTCCGGGGCGGATGCTTTTCGCAGCTGACCCGGCGCGACCGGTGACGCGAAGGCCCCGACGGAAGTGCGGGCGGAGGGCCCC